ATCCCAGCCCTGCACACCCTCAGGTATTTCCATTCATCTCACAATCCTGAAGCCACTGTTCTATGGTAGGACTTGAAGAGTCTTATCCTGAGTGTGTGCAGTCTCTCCACAAGCCCAGGAGCCTCAGGAAGTTTCCTTGCAGTGTCTGCCCTCATTCCACCCAGTCCCTTTTCTTTGGCACCACACTTCAAACTTCAAGTCACTCTAGTAGTTCCAGACTCCAATTTTTGTCTCCTCAACTTCACTAAACCACAGTGGTTGACCTTCAGCTTCACCTTTCCATTTCAGAGTTGCAAAGTGCCCCATGCATCAAGCCAGGGTTAATATGGTGCTTACCTCCTTATCTCGAAGATCAAACACCTGGAACTCCAGTTGACAAGTGCCTGGCAACTGTTGCCTCATGTGTTTTGTCCAGTTTTATAACCATTTATATCAGGAAGTTAAGTTTGTTATCAGTAATTTTGACTTTATGGAAGTTGACACAGAGAGTTTTAAAAAAATGGGAAATTTCATGTCAAAAAATAACTTTTTCAGCCTTGGTTGATAATTTCTCCATCTCTTTAGAGTATAAAAAGTGACTTTCTAAAGAGTTGAACAACTTTTAAATTGAAATATGGAAATTTGACAACATCCCCTCTTTTATCCATATCCAAGGAAAGGAAAACTAAGGCTGAGGCACCAGAGGCACATATCTTGCCTTGATTTTCAAACTCAATCATAGTTGGACACTTGGTTACATACTGTACACATGCTTAACTTCATGAGAACTGTCTTCAATGAAGAATTGCACTGTTCCTTCATTATCTGCTTGAGATACATTTTCTGTAGAACATTGAGACTTCTGGGAATAATTTTGGTGGTAACACTGGATTGTAATATGATACATACCCTCACCAACTGGCCTTTTCCTTCTCACTTCCACCTCACTTTCATACTTGCATTATTCTGGCTAGAGGTTAAGAAAAATAGCATGTGGTGCAGTGCCTCATTAGAACCTGAAAATCATCACATCACTTATCTTCCCATTGATGATTTCTTTGTGTTCTTTGCCTATAGGTGGTTGAATTGAGCCTTAAGTTATATAGCCTTGGTTAGCCTGTGACAGGTAAAAGATACCTAAGACATTATTTGGATTCCACAAGTAAAGTGACTTTTCTAAGTCTACTGCTCAAGCTAACACATTGTGATATCAATTTACCTGAAAATTGTAAGCAGAGGTAAGGAAAGTGAGTAATATGCCAGCCACTATATGCCCGATACACCTTCATTGTTTTGTTTAATAATCACAACCTTGCAATGAAGGTGTAATTAACCTTAGATTACAGATAGTGAAACTGAGTTTCAGAAAAATTCAGTAACTTGTCCAAGGCCAAAATGCAAGGATTTGAAATTTGTGACTGTCTACCTCCAATATTATATTTCTAATATGTCACAGATTGTGTTATTTTATGATGGTATAAATTTACCTTGTTGCCTTGTCAGATATTGCAAAGAATGTGTTAACAAAGAAGCGTTATTTTTAGAGAAATTAGCTCAGTAGTTTTCCAGTAAAAATATCTCAAAAGTAGATAGACAAAGGTTTCCATATCAGCAAAGGTTTTTTTTTTTTTTTAAGTTATAAAATTAGACTTGTTCTAATCAAAGCAATTCCAGTTTTTTAAAAAACTTCATTTGAGATAATGTAATTTGGCATTTTCTTTGCCTCTTGTCAGGATGGAAAACAATAGTTCTCTTGCTAGATTTAATATCATTATGTCTGACAACATAGTTAACAGAACAGCTGCTAATGTACCAAGGATTTTCAAGTTCTTTGCATCTAAAGGTCATTAATGAAGTTAGCAAACCAGAAGCTTCACAGTTTGAATCTATATTCAAAGATTATAACCAAAGGAACTTTCTATCTCTGGAGTTGTTGGATGCAAGTTGTGTTGAAAGAAATCATTAGTTTTTGATTCTTTTCTTTCTTAAACACAACCCAGTAAACAAGGATGCATAGCAAACAGGGAAGATGGTTATGTCCATTAAAAATTGGGGGTTTTAATTGGAAAGGAAAAAATAAAAACCAGAGGGTCATTTGTGTCTGGCATATGTTTAAAAATTAATAATTTGTACATGCCATAGGGAGAATCATGAGTCATAATTACTAATATAACAGCAAAGTGTATTTTCTCTGATTATATTTTTCTTTATTTGCTTATAAATAATCACATATTACCACCATATCTCTGGTAAGTAAGCACTGTTTTTGAAATAACAATATTTCATATAGACTCCTTAATTGCAATAAATTTTTTAACTAACATTAATAATAAAGCTATAGAATGTTTAAGGCAAAGGGGATGTTTGAGATTGCTTAATTCAGCAAACACTTCTCTTTTACATTTAGAGAAACTGAGAGCCTAAGGTGATCTTCTCAGTTTAAACAAAACTTAGAGATACATAGGAACAAAACTCTGGGTCTTAGGATATCTTTTCACCAAATTATCTTGTTAGAGTAGATTTTTAACTCCAAGTACTGTTGTGAATACCAAGGGAATGTAAACATTATGGTGCCTACCTTCACGGAGCTTAAACAAATTCGTATATACTATAATGTCAGGAAGTGTCAAGTTGCAAAGAATTAAAAAAAAAAACAAGGTAAGAGGTTAGAAAGTGACTGGTGGAGATGCTAAATTATGTAAGGCAGTCAAAGGAGATCTCTCTGAGGTAGTTACATTTATGCAGTGACATGAATAATATAAGAGATCAAACCATGTTCATATGTTATTGAAGAGGTGTTCAAGAACAAGGAATATCAATTGTGAAGGATTTGAAATGGAAAGTGCTTGCTGTGTTTGAGCAACAGCAGGTAGACCAGTGTCTGAGTGTAATGTTCATTCATTCACTGCACATTCATCCCCCGGATTACCACAGCCAGAGCAGGATGGAGGAAATGGGGATCTGCAAAGAAAGAGCAAAATGAAGATAAATTGTGGTTACCATATCATTTAGCTATATTAACTTTGCAGGGCTATATAATTCATGCATTCCTGCTTGAGTTGGAAAGATACAGTTTGCAAGTAAAATTTAGGGGAGTAAAAGTAGTTGTGAGTGAATCATGTAACATTCCTTACCTTTCAAAAACTTTATTCTGAGCACATGTCATACTAAAATGTAGAAATCTTTAAAGTTACAATATCAGGGTTTTCTGTGTAAATTAAATAAACTGGAATAATTGTAAGAGCCTTTGTAGTTATCAGAGAGCTTTCACGTGTGTTATGTAATTTGATCTTTACAGTCTCGCAAGTCTGTAGTAAATGTATTCTCATTTTACAGTGCAGGACATTGAGGTTCGGAGAGGTTAACTGACTCACCAATACTTTTTATTATCCATTTTTTCATTATAGACATCATGTGGGTGTGAAGACTGTAATGGTCATTTGTTTCTCTGATTCTTATGCCAGGTAGTTTAACTTAAAGCTGGGAGTACTCTGAGAAATCATTTTTCAGTATTAATATAAAAATAATATTAATTTATTATTACTATTATTATTATTTTAATGTCTGCAATCACTTTTCCAGTTCCATTTTCTTAGTCTCGTATTTTGGTCTGTAATGTTAGAACCATTTAAAATCAGAGTGAGTGTGGTGGTGCATACCTGTCCCAGCTACTTGGGGGATGGAGGTGGGAGAATTGTTTGAGCCCAGGAGTTTGAGGCCAGTCTGGGCAACACAGTAAGACCTTGTCTCTTAATAGAGAGAGAGAGAGAGAGAGAGAGAGAGAGAGAGAGAGAACAGTAAATCAAAGGAGTCTTTAACTCTGAAGGCTCTAACCCATCCCCTATCTATGCATTACTTTGCTGTCTACAAATGAAGCCAGGAGATTAGCCTTGGAGTATCACTTACAAGGACATGGTTTCAACCAACTCTGTTCCTATATTTATCACTAAATTACCTGCTTTAAGTCATGAGGCCTCATGTTGAAATTCTTCCAGTACATAGTGAGGAAGACAGTGACTACTGTGAAATTCTTTGATATGTAGGAAAATTTTTGTTTCCTTGTAGCTGAAGAGGATGTTGCCACATTTGTTTTTCTTCTGCTTATCTCAGAAGGGGAAAAATTCTCCTTTCCACAAAATATATTTTGTTCACTTGACATGTTAGCATATGATTTTATCGTATTGATTTTAAAAATTCACTGCAAGTCACTAAACAAGACTCAGGCAGAAAAGGTGAACTAGAGAGGTAGTGGTTGTGAAGCAATAAATGTGAGTTCTGGCATTCAGTTAATAATTTTTTTATGTATCTTTGAATTAATCACATAACCTTTTGCTTTTCTCACTTATAAAATTATGGGGTTAAAGTAGAGGATCTTATGGTTTCTAATGGTACTAAACTTTTATTCTGTGTTTCATTGAGGATTCTTCAATCTAATAGTAATATTTTTTTCTACTATTTCTTCCTGGGTTTTTTAAACCTAAGATTTTGATCACTAAGTTAAAATATAAAAAGAGTTCTAGGAAAATTAAAAGGGAAGTTACTGACACCAGGCCAAATGGTGATTTTACTGAACAAGTTGTGGCTACATAATACATTTTTGTACATATAGGATAGTCCTTTCAAAAACATCTTATCAGTCCATGTTTATTGTGGTTGTTTTTTGATTTTGATTCCCAGGGATGAATTCTAGCACCTTCTTTACATGCTAAAGAGCGCTAAACTGAATTTGCAGAATATTATGCTAGGATCAGAGTTCTGGTTTGGCCATGAGTCTTGAAAGACTTTAGCCTCCTAACTGAGTCAAGCTTGAGCAGTTGTGTTCTGTGGAGTGAAGCTTGGCCAGAAAGGAAATCATGTCTCCTGCTTTTGTATGATGAATCTTTATAAACTGCTGATAGAAATTATGTACAGTTGCCTCTCATTTGTTCTTGAGAGGACATGTATTTCAAGCTCATTAGATTTAAGCATTTGCTGATTCATTTTGAAGTCTTTTATCTTTTTTGTATATTCTTTTTTTCCAGGATGTTTTCACTCCAGAATGCAAATTTAAGGAATCTGTGTTTGAAAACTACTATGTGATCTATTCTTCCACACTGTATCGCCAGCAAGAATCAGGCCGAGCATGGTTTCTGGGACTCAATAAAGAAGGCCAAATTATGAAGGGAAACAGAGTGAAGAAAACCAAGCCCTCATCACATTTTGTACCAAAACCTATCGAAGGTATGAAGCCACCTTGTTTTCTTTATTGGACCCTTATCTGCGTGTTGACACCAATCTTTTCCCTCATCCCCTTTCTCTGGAGGGTTTGCTTAGAATGCAACAAATCAGAACAAAGATTCAGAAAATACAATAGTACCTCTTCCTATCAAAAAATAAATAAAGAAAGAAAATTCTACTACAAATACTTGGCACGTAGAAAAAAAAATATGCCTGAATATAGAAGATAGAAGAAAGTTCCTGAAAGTAAAAAATAGTAATAGTTATCATCTGGTATTGTAATTTCTTTTTTTGTTGAATCTAATAATTTAATTTCCCAGGATACACTCTTGAAAAGCAAATGATACTTTTATATTTACAGTATTAAATTGTATCCTTCTCTTTTGAGCCTATAACCTCCCCTCCTTTGATCATTTAACCCATAGAATTCACTAATTTCAAATTATGCAGTAGAATAAATAATTATTTTGCTGAGGAAACTCATTTTTGGCAACTCGGTTGTGTTCCTTCAGAAGTTCCTTGACTAGGATGACAGTATATCATTTGGGTGACCACATTTACTGAAGTCAGTCAAGCTTTCTAATGCAAGCTAGATAAGCAGTAGTGGTCTGGGTATTTACCAACATAACATTTTTCTTCTCTGAAAGTCTGGCACATCATAGAGAGATATTTGGTAATAAGTTGCCAATTAAATTAGTGAACATGTGAATTAGCAAATGAGTAAGTATGAAGACAAAGAACTATGTGCTCTAAAGAATTTCATAATACTCTTAGAGATATGAAATATGTTTGCTAATAGCAATAGTATAATATAAAAAGTGATGCATTACATGCTGCAGGAATTGCTATTGATATTCAGAGAAAGAGCTATCACTTTCACAAAAAGGAAGGTTTCATTAAGAAGCCAGTATTTAAATGTACCTTCAGGGCTAGGCCAGGCTCATACAATTTGAAATGATAGGTAAGGATTAGGCAGACAAAAACACTCCAGGTGCAGTGTGAATAAAGGCAGGGAAGTTGCTTTGTAGGGTTAAGCAGAGGGTACCTAAGAAGTAGGTGATATTTTTATGAGAAAATATATTAATTCTCAAGAATTATGTTTTTGACAGATTATGCTTTCAACTATTGCATCATTTTCATGTGCACAGTAGGTTGATTTTTTTGTTGTTATATAAGTGTAGTACAAGTTTATTAGCAATTTTTAGAAAATTCAGGTAAATATAAAGAAAAAAACATGGTTTTATTTCTTTCTTTTTTTTTTTTTTTTTTTTGAGACAGAGTCTCGCTTTGTTGTCAGGCTAGAGTGAGTGCCGTGGCGTCAGCCTAGCTCACAGCAACCTCAAACTCCTGGGCTTGAGTGATCCTTCTGCCTCAGCTTCCCGAGTAGCTGGGACTACAGGCATGCGCCACCATGCCCGGCTAATTTTTTATATATATATCAGTTGGCCAATTAATTTCTTTCTATTTATAGTAGAGACGGGGTCTCGCTCTTGCTCAGGCTGGTTTTGAACTCCTGACCTTGAGCAATCCGCCCGCCTCGGCCTCCCAAGAGCTAGGATTACAGACGTGAGCCACAGCGCCCGGCCTATTTCTTTCTTTTATGTGTAATGCATTTCATATTGATAAAAAGAAAGGAATAGCTATAACCTACCCTCATAAGTAGAGCTGCTATCTGCACTTTGGTTAGTCAGGTTTCCACTTGGGTCTGAATGACCATGTACACATTTCCAAAAGAAATGTATACAATGGCTATGTTCCTAGTTACAGAGCTGCCGTAATCCAACATTTGTTGCTTCATTTCAGTACAAATGTGAAAACGGACAACTAGACATTACTATGTGTGTATGTTGAATTAGATTTGACTTTGCACAACAATAAACCCATGCTAGCAGCAGCTTGATCATACAAAGTTTTATTATCTCATAAACCATATCGAAGGAACCAGCTGTCCAGGGCTGGTACTGTGGCATCCCAATTGGTAGGGACCTTGGCCGCACCCGGCTTTTAGTGCTTCACTCTCTGGTGCCTTGTTGCTATGATCCATGTACAACTGCACTGCACCGTCAACACAAGACACACACTGACCCTTGATGTGCCCTTCTCCCCTTGATCCAACAAGCATCCTATTCCAGTCAGAGGGCAGAGGTGGGGTGAGGAAGGTGGAAACAAGAGCCTGGGCCAGTTTTCTCTTCAAGATGGTCCCTAGTAGCTGCCATGGGATATTTACATTCCACTGGCCACATCCCAGCCAGGTCGTCACACTTCAGTGCAGGGAAGCCAAGAATAGTGATCTTTTATCTGGATGGCTACGTACCACATATTTTTGGAGAATGGCAGAATAGGTATTGAGACACTAACACCTCTGCTTCAGCCTTCCATCCTCTTTAGAATATCTCTGGTTTTCTTAGTGACATTTTTTGGTAGATTGTTTTGTTTTTACTTTATGCTATTTACTGATGCTTTAGAATGATTTTCCTTTTATTCTGGGAAAAAATAAAGTCCATACTGTATCAGATTAACTAATACTTGAAATTACGTCCAAGGTTTTGTGTCTCTTTAGTTTGTGAGAGTGAAAACTTATCTGTAATGTATATAGAATACAATGAGAATCACTTTTCCAAAGATGAAAGCAAGAACTCAGCTGGTTTTAGACCAAAGATCTTTCAATTCCCTGTAAATGTCTTTGCTTTCTGTCTTGGAAAACAAGGTTTACTTTTTGAACAATGTTAGCTAACAGCTTTATAAAGGTTTATTCTTCACAGGTACTATTCTAACCACACCTCAATTATTGTCTCTTATTAATATTTTTCATTCCATTTCTACAAAGTAATTTCTAGTATAACCCTATTTACAAATGTGGAAGATGAAGCACAGAGACATTAAATAATTTGTTTCAAATCATACAACCTGTAAGTGACCGAGCAGAACACAAACCAAGGCATTCTGACTTGAACAACCAAGCACATAAACTCCATGGAGACTGATGAGATAGGCTACAGTCTGAGGTCTGAGAAAGGTTATGGATGTAACCGCAATGTACAGTAGGAGGACCCTAGTAAATGATTTTGAATAATGTCTCCTAATACCTTCTCTTCTTTTTAAATCTGGAATATACCTGCTCCTTAGAAATAAAAGTTATTGCAGATTATTGGAGACTTTTGTGCTCTTATAACTCACCTAATACACGTGAATTTGGTTGGTTCTCTACCTATTATGTGCTTTCATGTCATTATAATACAAAAAATGTGAATAATTACCCAGTGAGTCTCCATGCAGTTATATTTTATATCATTAAATGGTTTTTAGAGGTTGCCCTTATTATTAAATATCTGTACACTTGAGGTTATGTTAGGCATTATTCTACAATGCAGTGAGACCTTCTTCCTCCTTGCTATAATCCTCAAACTATTTTTGCCACCACTGTTATTACTACTATTACTAGTCTTGCTACTGCTATATACAGCTTATCAATTTACCATTTGCTAGGTAGGTTGCGTATGTTGTCTCTGTTAAATATCATAGCAGCCTTATGTTATTATCCTTATTTTATATTAATAGATGAGGAGACTAATATTTAAAGTAATTAAGTAACAAGTCCAAGGTCACAGAACTGGATAAATACAAAACTAGGATTGCAATCTGGCAAGCATAACGTCAATGCCTATGCACCTAACCCCTACACCAGCGCTCCCCAACTTTTTTGGCACCAAGGACTGGTTTCATGGAAGACAGTTTTTCCACAGATGGGGTGGGGCAGGGAATAGTTTTGGGATGATTCAAGCATATTACATTTATCGTGCAGTCAAACCTCTCTACTAATGATAATCTGTATTTGCGGCCGCTCCCACATCACCACCTCAGCTCCACCTCAGATCATCCGGCATTAGATTCTGGCAAGTACATTTACAGTAGGATTAGCCCTCCTATGAGAATCTAATGCCACCACTGATCTGACAGGAGATGGAGCATATTCGGTGATGCAAGTGATGGGGAGCAACTGTAAATACAGATGAAGCTTCACTCCCTTGCCCGCTGCTCCCCTCCTGCTGTGCGGCCTGGTTCCTAACAGCACATGGGCCACTACTGGTCCTTGGGGCAGGGCAGGGGGACCACAGCCCTACGCTATCCCTACACTATATTGCCCTTCAGTCTTGGGTACGTCTGTGACTATGCAAATACTTAGAAAATTCAATGATAATAAAGCAGAAATGTTATACCATGATACAACTTGAATAGTAAGCTAGTTTTAAACTATGCAAAATTGAGATAGGTATACATAATATGATAAGGAAGATGCATATTGGTAGATGATCAGATAAAACAGTTAATGGAATGCCATGTTCAAGCTAGGCAAGAAAGAAGAATACATCAGTTTTCTGATGAATTCTAACAGGTTTAATTTCATACTCTGTAGAAGAATTTGGACCAGATGATTCTTAAAGTTCTTTGGCAATGACATTGTGTGGTAAGCTTTATAAGCACTTTAGTGTAAAACCATGCTCCTTCATGGAACCAAGCATGGGGTTTGCATACAAAAATAGTCAAAACATTTCCTTTATTGAATTATGAATGAATAAATTACCATTTTATAAACCATTTCCATTATAGGCGATTTTCTTTTTTTGGATGAGGGACTAAGATGAAAGGCATTCTAGCTATAAGCGTTATTTTTAAAGAAAGTTTTTGATATTTTTCTATAGGCCAAGTGTAAAGCACATAACTGGAAGACCCATTTAGAAAATAAATATAAAATGAGAGCTCCATATGAGATTGGTCATATCTTCTGTTTAATGAAAAAGTTGTCAATTATTTTATTTTTTTAGCTTTTAAAGAAATTTTTGTAAACCCGTAAGCCCACTGCTAAGACTGTTAACCCCCAACACAGCCCAGTACTGCACAGTGAATGAGCTCCTCTTTTGTGAGAATTGGCCTCTTACAGAGGAAAAGCCAAAGTAGAGGTTTTTTTTGTTTGTTTTGTTTTATTTGTTTCTGTTTTTTTTTTT